AAAAAAAAAATCAATAGTGGGGTTATCTTAAGATATTGAAGAGAGATACTGTGATAGGAAAGCAGCTGGATTAATTAAGCTGTGTAATCAGCTGTCTTAGTGTTGTACTTCAATTGGGTTGTCTCACAAGGATTCCTTCTTAGGCTCTCTAGGATTCTTTGAATTCTCTCTTTGTCACACATCTCAGGTACTTGGTCTCCTTTTCTCTTTTCTATAGCTGCTGACACCTACTTTGTCACTTAGGGCTTTTCTTCCTCCCAGCTTGGCTGCAATGGTGTGATGTGGTCTCCTTAGGTCACTCCTACCCCTACTCCCACTTGCTTGCTGCACCTGAAGACATATTCAGACCCTTTTTGATCTGAAGGTTTTCCTGTTAATCACTATGGAAATAGAGGGAGTAAACACGGGAAAGTTTTCAAAATTTCTAACAAGCTGGCTCCCTGCTCTTAGGTTACTTGCTTCTGAGGTCATAAATGGAAGCCTCGTTGTTTCACTGCCCTCGTTGTTTCATACACTGTGGCCATTTTCCGCTGCTGTGGTCCAGGTGGAACAATAGAGGCCTCTAAGTCTCAAATGACACTCAGTTTCTTAGGTCTCTGCTTTTCTCAAGAATAAAGCTCATTCATCCCCTCACAACCCTCTCTCTAGCTTTCAGTTGAGTTTCTTTTCTGTATTCTAATTAAAGTGACCATAGTGTTTGGTTTTGCCAATATTCTAGGGGATTGATTTTTTGGTAGTAAGTGTTTTCTGGGTCTCTTTTTGTATAGTGTACACCCTATGGTCCTATCCCGATCTTCTACCGACCTTTACAACATGGCCTCTCGTACTCGAAAAATTGGTGGGGGGAGCAGGTAAGAGGATTTCTCTATATTCTGGCTATTGGCTGAAATCTACTTAGTAAGAGCCAACTAATTTAATAAATTTACTCATTTCCTGTGTTCATATTGTTGAAAAATGGAATTTTATCCCTTATGTGTGTGTTACGTCTCTCACTTGGCTGTTTCCATGAGCTCTCTAGGCCTCTGTGGCCCTGCTGTAAGGCTTAAATAAGTGATGTGAACATACTTTTTGAACCACTGTATATTATACTTTAAACCAATAAGCTGGATTTAGGAAACTGTGACAAGATAGATCATGGTATAGGACACTCAGCCTGATGCTTCTGTTTGACTACTGGCTCCTCAAAGGGAGATGGTCTGATACTCAAGTTTCCATTTTTCATTTTCATTATGAATAACATACTTGATACTCAATAAATATTTCTTTGTTAGCTGAATAAATGATGATGTAAACCATGGAATTAGATGGAGGCAGAATGTAGGTCGTGATGCTTTTTTTCGTTTGCTACAGATTTGATGCTGCCGGGACTGGTGGTGCCTGCTGCTGGTCTGCCTCAGGTACAGAAAGGCGACCTCTGTGCCATTGCCTTGGTGGGGAACAGGTACTGTGCCAAGCAGCTGTGCCTTTGGGGGAGAAACTTAGGTAAAAGGGGATGTTCAGGGGAATGATGACTTCCTAAGCTTATGCACAAAGGAATGATTGAAAGAAAAAATATATTCTTCTGGAAGAAGCAAAGAGTGGGCCTGGAGGAATGACAGTGAGCTTATGGGTGTCATACATCTGGGCTGAATGTATTTGCTGCTGCTACTTTTTTTTTTTTTTTAACTAATTTTAGATTNTGCTTTCCCCACCCTTGGAACCGATCAGGTCTCTGATTTAGTACCTGGAAAGGAGGAGCTCAACATTGTGAAGCTGTATGCTCACAAAGGGGATGCAGTGACTGTGTACGTGAGTGGCGGTAACCCCATCCTATTTGAACTGGAGAAAAATCTATATCCAACAGGTATGACAACAGGATGGACATGGCTGTTACTATAGTCCTTGCCTAACATCTGCTTCTCTCTGCTTCTTCCATTAACTTGCCTCCCATAAAACAAACAAGCACAAAACCTTCCAGTACCATCCCTAAGGAACTTTGTGGACGTAGTGTTCCTAGAATTGGATTTTTGGAGACCAGAAGCTTCTGTAGGAGGAAGAAAAAAAGGCTAACACAGCGAGTGTGGTTGCAAACGGAAGTTCTGAGATGAAGGAGCAATGGCTGGAGAATTGACAGTGGGCAAAGTAGGGATGGGATAAAACAGAGGTCATGCAAAGGATGGAATTTCAGGGCATGTAAAAATGTTTCTTAAAAATATCAATAGCAGGGCCGGCCCCATGGCGCACTGCTACAGTGCGCCGCTTGGGAAGTGCGGCGGCGCTCCCGC